CTTATCAGCCGGTGTAAAACCAGTTTGCTGATCTGAAATAGAAGTATTTGTGAGAGATTATCTGCAATATTTGGATAGCTGGAGAAGAAAGGTGGCATGTTTATGAATGCAAAATATACACTTAAAGCTGAATACTACCAAATGTTAACATGCCACTTTGAATACAGCTTTTTTTTGTGCACCTGGCATCCTGGCTCAAACTCTCTTAACAAAGAGCAGAAAAAATACTGAAGGCAGCATAAACATAGGTGTTCTCTGCTGTCAGCTAGCAGCCATAGATTCACATTTTTTGTGATGTGATCATATTACTTTAATTTTTTTCTTTTTTTGCTACACCTGTTCAGTATGTTGAATTCAGTACATTTTTACAGGAAAAATACAGGTTCGTGACTCATTCACAGTTTCTTTTATTTGAGACCACTTCTTTTATTTAGTGGAATATGGCAATCATAGCTATACATAATTTTTACAGAAAATGGTGCTTTATTTCTAGCTTGAAAAATAGTCAATTTACCTTATGAGTTATCTACTGTATTTATCTTAGCTAGTGACAGAGACAGTTGCTGTTACTATTAGATGGGCACTTTGTAATGACTCATACTGGGTTATTTATGTTAGAGATTTTAATAAAGGATGATACGATTTAAAGAAAAAATTTATAGACTTCAGTTGATCCTACCCATATACCTTTGAATCTTTACCTTTGTGCGTTCTCCTTCGTAATTCTTATAGAATCTTGGAAAGAATGCCTCCTTAATCACTAGTAATGTACTTTAAATAGACCTATCATTTGAAATAGGTGTTCTTAAAAACAGCATTTCTGTTGCCCCAATAACCCACCTGAGCTCGTTTATAATACATTCTCCTAATTCTGCTAACAAAAGCAAGTGCTTGTACTGTTGATAGACATGAAACCCAAAGGCAAGCTTTATTCAGATGAGACCCATGCATCAACAATGCTGAGTGGGCGACTGAGTTCCAGGTTCATATGTATACATTAATGAGTGCATCAGCTAGATCACTTATAGAATCATGGAATTGTTTAGGTTGGAAAACACCTCTAAGGTCATTGAGTCAAATTGTTAATCCAGCACTGCCAAACTCACCATTGAACCACGTCCCTCAGTGCCACAGCTACTCATCGCTAAAATACCTCTAGGGTTGGTGGCTCCACCACTGCCCTGGGCAGCGCATTCCAGTACTTAACAACATTTTCAGCGAACATATTTTTTCTGATAAATTTTACTGAGTATGTCCATAGAGCAACTACTCTGATGAAGAATCTAAAGATATGTGCCCTTGGTACTCTTTAAGTAGCCTCTCATTTTTCCATTTAGAAATTTTTGCTTCATCTTTACAAATATTTATTTGTCTATATTTCTCCTCTGGTTGCTGCTTCTGTTCATTATTCTTGGCTTCCTCCTGGGTCCACACACAGATAAACACAGTAGACTCATTCTGAATCTGTGTGTTCTTCCCACTGTTTCTACCCCACCAAAAGAAACTCCAGAGCAGAAAATTCAAATTAGAGAAATGTTCTCAAGATACAACTGAGAACAATTTTAGTTCATTGTCTCTTTTTTTGTATTCAAACATATTTCAGCTACAAACCCAGGTGCTATGGATGAAACTCTTAATCCTGTTAACATCTCTAGCAATTTTGCTTTTCACCATAACAGCACTGTGTTTTGTTTTTGTCCCTAAGAGCGCAAGACTTCTCATAGTAATGATTTTAGGCTGTTTCTTAAGCATGTTTTGTACATGCAGTGAAATGCATCAGGACCTTACCTGTGTTGAGATTGTAAGATCTGCTCAGTTACTAGTTCATCCCTTGCAGTACAATGCCCTGTGTGCTGGAGTCAGTCTGTAAATGTGTCTCTGCCAGCTCTCTGAATTAGAACTACAGAGCACACAAGTTGCATTTAAGAACAATTTGCAGAAATCATAATGCTGTGTGCATAAAACTGGTGCACTGTTTGTTCGTAGGAAGTTTTAAGGACTGGATGTTTGTTTAAGCTTCGTGCTGAATCCCTGAGCAAAAATTACTGGGATTGCAGTAAAGATTTTGTGGACCTCCACACATGTGTTCCTTGTTTCACAAGAGGTTCAAATCTGATCACATCTTAACTTCTTATGTTGCATGGAGCAGTTTGAGGTTGTTTAAGCCTCAGTTAAAGGAACTCGTATCATTCAATACTATACAGCAAACCTGGAAGAGTAACATGGAAGGGAAAGCACAGCTTTCCATGTGTCCTGTAGGCAATATCTTTCTTAAACTCACCTTGTAAAATTGTCCAATTCCTTATGCTTGTGCATGTTTAGACTCACAGCACTATGCGGGTGTTTGGAATATGTTTTTTTCTACTTTTCCTCTTCACCTGGTCTGCATCTTACAGATCTGTCATGGCATGCTCCAGTCTCTTCTGATCCCTCGTAAGTGTAAATGTCAGTCCATTTTCCCTGCAGCCTCTATCATCCAGCCATATTTTCAATTAAGACTTTAACAGAAAAAACACAAATTACCAGAAACATTGTAGAGTAGCTTCTGACTGCCAATAGTTATTTTTTCTTTGGGCTTAGACCCTGCAAAGTACTGAGTAGCCATCAAAGGCATATTGGAACTCAGTCTTCTGCGTAATACGACCTCTTCCTCCTAAAGGAATTAAAAAACCCCACTCACATTCAATGACATTAATGAGAATTTTTCCCCCTGCAAACATATTGTAACTGTGAAATAACATTAAAGTTTCTCTGCCTTGTTATGAAGTCTTTAAATGTCAATGCCATTTCTGAGACCATCAGGGCAGACTTAATGGTGGCCAAGGTCAACAAATGCTAACTGGTACCTCTCTTTTAGGGCCTTCAGGGACTCTTAAAAGAGTCTCAGCCATGAAGGTAATTTGTGATGTGGACCTTTAGTCTTAAATCTGATGATTATTTTCTAACATCTTCATTCGTGTGCTTAGATTTCTTAACATTCTTCTGTCTCTTCAGTCAATAAACTGCTAACATAAAGACATTCTCCAACATTCCATCCTTTGACTTTCCTTTGTTTTAGTGTGTTCCTTTTAACTTCTGTTTGTGGGCTGCAGAAGACTAGGTGTATGTTTTCTGTAGACCACCTTACACTGCCAGCCCCGATAAGGTCCTCTAAGAATACCTTCAGTTATGACACCTCCTGCAGTCCTAGGGGACTGGGAGACTGTCCACCTTGAGAATCTCTTCCTATAAGTGCCCTAAATGCTCTACTACCAGAAGCAGGTGAGGTGGGAAACGAGACAGTGTGTAACTATAGGATTCTTTTACTTTCCCTTTTTTGTAATATTTCTTCCTGTTGCTGTTCATCTCTTTCTGTATTGTCTAATACAGATTAAAAGTAGCCTTTTTTTGTCTAGAAAATATTTCAGACAAGGATGGCACACTACAAATAATAGCAAAACTCCATATTTTTGGCTGCATGCTGCATTTCTACTCAGTTTCCATGCCAGTCCCTCTGACTTGAAAGTATTTTAGTGTCCTGCACTTTTCACCCAGTTCAAGCACCAGACTTTCCTCAGACATTTAGCATTGACATTATTGCAAACGCCTCTAACTCACCGGGCCATTTGGGGCAAAACGTGACATCCTTGGCTTTCAATCATATGGCAGAGAGGATATGTTTGTGTGCACAAGACTGGAAATAATAAAATATCAGTATTCAGGTGCTAATCCCCACTAATTTGCATTCTGTGGAGTCTACAAGAAACTTGTAATTGGTTGTCTTGAAGGGCAGTGGAGTATATTTGGTATTTTGTTTATTTATAAAAAAATAATTTAAATTATACATATGAATGCTGAATAGATTTGTATTATATCTCTCTTCTAATCATTGCTTGCATTTCTAAATTCTAGGGTCTTGGGTCTGGCTGACTGTCTTGCACTCTGCGCACAATGCTTATCTATTGTAAGCATTGCCAGAGTTCAA